GACTTGGGCCAGGATGTGACAATTTGGTATCAAAGCCAATCCCTGGCCAGAAGTGTGCCGATGAGGACATTAGGCCCCTAAGAGGGGTGGATTATAAGATCCCACATCGCCCAAGGGAGTGGATCATGTAAGCTTTATATGTATATTCTCATCTCTACCTAGCACGAGGCCTTTTGCGAGCTCACTGGCTTCGGGTTCCATCGGAACTCCGAAGTTAAGCAAGTTGGCGCGAAAGCAATCCCAGGATGGGTGACCCACTGGAAAGTTCTCGTGTGAGTTCCCAAAAACAAAATCGTGACGGCATGATCGGGGCCCAAAGCGGACAATATCGTTAATTAGTAGCGCCACCATAGGTTGATTACATACTAGGGCCCGCTCGGGTAGGTGATTTTGGACAACTAATAAGGAACTGGTCATGTGAAGGGGTTCCATAATTCTGGAGGGAATGCTCACTACTTCAAAGATTTTGTACTAATCATAGGTATAATAACTCGTACTTCGGCGGGGAGTGGATCATGTAAGCCTTATATGTATATTCCCATCTCTACCTAGCACAAGGCATTTTGGAAGCTCACTGGCTTCGGGTTCCATTGGAATTCCAAAGTTAAGCGAGTTCGCACGAAAGCAATCCCATGATGGATGACCCACTGGAAAGTTCTCGTGTGAGTTCCCAAAAACAAAACCGTGAAGGCGTGGTGGAGGCTTAAAGCGGACAATATCGTGCTACGGTAGAGTCGAGCCCGGAATATGGTGGGGGCTTGGGCCGGGATGCGACACAACAACCTTTTCAGCAAAGCAACTCCTTCTTCTCCCAACAACCACCGCAGCAGCAACAGACGCCGCTGTTTCAACAGCCACACAAGACTTCGGCGAGTTATGGTACCTAGTGGGGGGATCTCTATCCGGATTCCTAGAAAATTCTTCTGCAGATTGAGTAAGTTTTCTTGAATTTTTGTGAAGAAATTTAGCCTGTTATTGGTTTTTCATTGTGATTTTTTGGGGTGTTTGGCCTAATTGGTTACTGAGAAAAGTAGTATTATGCAAAATTGCTGCATTAGATTCTGTAAAGTGAATTTTTTTTTTTTCCGATATTTGTTGGGTTTTAATTAAAGTTCAAAAGTTGGGTTTAGTTTGTATTAAATTCCAAGTGTAAAGTTCAGAACTTGGGTTTACATTTTCACTCTTATAATTATGAGCTGACCTGAGATATATGGTTTTTGATTGTTTGCTCGCAAGGAACGGATACTAGGGTATAGGGATTAAAGTCAGCATTCTGGAGTGATGAAGTGAAGTTGCTGGTTGCGGCGGAGGAAGGATTTACTCTGGTTCTTGGCAGTGGGAAGGACTTGAGGAGTTTTCGAGAGATGAGTTAGTGAAGTTTGATGGCGAGGGGTAGTGTGTTATGAAAGATCATGGGTATTTTGGTACGTTTAGCCTTAGCTCCACGCTTTAAGTTCGAGCCCTGTGATTTCATTTGTTGGAGAAAGTTTAAAGCTTTATATTGCCCATGGTTGCGTAGTTCTCTTCAATTTGTATGGTTGTGATGATACGGAAATAATAAGTTTACGTTCAAATTTTCTAGGACTTTAGAGGTAACCAAATTGACCCTTTTAATCTTTTAAGTTGCCATTGCATTGATTATTTTTTTGGTTTTATCATGCGAAAGTTAGAATTGTTACTCTCTTTGATTTTTTTAATTAATGTTGAAAAAATTTTTGTGTAGAAAAGGTGGGAGTCTCTCCTCCGTCAAGGGAGGAGTTATTTGTTGTTGGTGATCTTATGCGCAACCGGATTTTGAGAACAACCAGTAAGATGCTTGCTTGATCTGTATGGAGTGGAGTGGGTTATCTGCACATGTAATTTTATGCAGAGTTTCATAAGTGGGGTTCAGTACCTAATACATCGTCAAATTTCTAATACAATCGTTCAGACTAATTAATTATTTAATTGCTTTACCCTTGACCGCTAATTGATTTTGAGGTTCAATGGAAGTAGAATTCACAAGGAATAGCTGAATGATTTTTAAAAGCAGCCATTGCATGCTTATCTATGGGCGCCAAATTTTCTCTCAAAACCTAGGATGCGGAGGGACTTCGGAGGAAGCTGAGGATTAGCACCTAGATTAGATATTCTTTTGGCCATTGTCGTTTCTTTTATTCATCGAGGTGGTAACCCTAATACATAACTCTTTCCTCTTATATGTATAGTTTCTATAGCTTTCACTCATTCTTTAATTTGTCAAATTTTGACAAATTGAGAGCTTCAACAAATGGAATCCGTATTTATTTTCTTATGTATCGATCCTCTTGCTTTTTATGACCACAACTTAAGCCAGCCCTTCGAAAGCTAGACAATCATCCTTACTTCTTTATTGTGAATACTCTTCATTTCAAGTTATATATTTTCTTGCCAATTACTACTACTGTAAAAGAGTAAATAGGTAGAAAAACTAAACATTTGCCATTTGTTTTAGCACAACACTTATGACACTCTGTTTTCTTCAGGTTACTACTCCGAATTAAGCGTTTGTTTTTGTTTTTTGAGTAAAAAAATCTTGCTTTTTTGGATTAGGAGGAGGTTCGTTGATTGAAGTTATAAAAGAGCCAAACAAAGAGTACGAAAAAAAACCAAGGCAAACATCGGCAATTCGGTTTAAGAATGGTGATTCTTTCTAACCGGATCAATTTCTTCAATTAGTGCTCAATTGTTGAATCTCTGTTTGTTCCTTTGGCCTTTTCAAGTATCCATGTATTTGTGGATTAACACCCTCAGAAGTCAACAAGCCCATAGGCATTTTGGAAATTTGTTGAATTAGCCAACATTTCATATTCGTAGGGTCAATTAGTGGGTTTCGGAGTGAGTATGAACTTCCAATGGACTTCCAACTCTAATGTTTTTATTTGACTTATTCATTTCACTAAACAAAACAAAAATCAATGTGGTGAATATTGCAGTGTACTGATATTTGTCTTATAAAATCTAATTAGTTTTTCTTCCTCAGTTGACTTCAGTCAACAACCTTTTATTGACAACCTTAAATTGGTTGAATAGGTTCTCGCAACTTTAAATTGGATTACAAAAAATATGAATTGATGTTATAACGAACCATAGCCAAGCTTTTTCAAACGAAATTTGTATGCTTTTTGAAGTTTTTGTAGTAAAGATGTATTTATGCATGCACAATTGTGGAACAGAAAAAAGAACTATATATGCTACGCTTAGATTGCCGTGATGTAAAAAAGACATTTCGCACGCGCAAGGCATTAAGAAAACATATGAATTCTTTTTGTAGTAAAGATGTCCTTACGTATGCATAGATGTGAAAGGAAAAAAAAACCCTGAATGCCGCGCGTAGCACGCTGTAATGTAAAAAAGGTCTTTCACATGCACAAAGCATGTGCAGAAAGGCTAGTAAAGAGGAAAGCCGGAGCGGCTACAAAACCCTAAGAGATTACACGTGACTAACTTATTCTCTAATGAGTAACAAAACACTCTGTTTATAATAAACTAACCCTAATCTCTAACAAAACCTAATTCTAACAGGCTGAGCCCAAATCCTAAATCTATTATTTTCCAACAACTTCTTGCTTATTTTTGCATGGATGCCAAGTTGCTCCAACAGCCTTCGATGTACATAGATCTAAAATGCGGTCTTGTCCTACTGTTAGACGCAAAGATAGGAGCCCTAATAGCATAAGCTCCACTTGATATTCTCAAGAGCTTCATAGAGAGCTCTTTTATTTCTCTCTGTCAACCACTCGAAGGAGTGCAATTAAAATTTAATCAAAATATCTCACTTCGCATTCATAATAAACCCAAAAATGACTTCATAAGATGAAATTAACCTAATTACATGTGAAAGGAAACCTTTCTAATTAAATGAATGAAATATTCGATGTGGATCGAAACCAAAACAAAACAAACATCGACAACTGCCCAAGTTGGTGTTTGCTCCAAAGGTCTTCCTCTTTCTCCTCCTGCCATCCTTTAATTGAAACCAAATTTTCCTTCTACCAAATAATGGTATTTTCGATCTATTTCTTTTGGTGTGTAAACTTAATACTAATTCCCGATAATTTTCAATCACTTCCGCTGTAATTAAAAGTTTACACACTCATAAACACACAAAATTCAGTTTTCCATTCTAAAAAATGAAATGAAAGCATATATGTCAAGTCAATGTTCTTGTTGTATTCATTAATTCAACGATGCGTCAAATACAAAAATTTAATTATACCTCTAATTTATAACCTTTTGATCTCGCTTCATCTGCAGCTAAACCAAAATTTAGACAGTCCCCAATATAATTCTGACCAAAACTAGATAGCAACACCATGTAAAAGTCATATTGGGTGTCTAACACCCACACTTACCAACTTACACATAAATTTGAAATTTGAATCACTTGGGCTTCAAAAATATTTGCACAGAAATTCGAAAGAAGATGAACAAACTAAAGTAAAATCATATGCAATGGGCAATTGAGACTCAACCAAAACTGCTATCAAGCTATGCTGCACGGAATAGTGGTGGGCTGTGAAGAGAACTCTACGCTGTTGACAAAGTCCCCGAACAACTTGGAAATTTACAGAGGTCAAAGACGTAAACTTACGCGTTGGCAAACCATTCACAACCCCAAAATGAAATCTTAAACAAAACTCACGAATCCAACTCAAAAAAGCTCAAATTCAAATCAACCAACAAAAACAAAATATCAAACACGGTTCAATGTCTCTCTTAGCATTTTAAATCACGTGTTATTGTCTTAACATTTCATGTACTCATGCATTAGATAAAAAAAGATATAAAACGATATCCATGTTAAAATTACTTGGACTGCTTTATCATGGTTTAAGAAAGCAAACCCAAATCATAGCATCGATGATTACCTAAAACACTAAAACAAAACCCTCACTTCTCACTACATGTTTAAGATACATGAACCCATACAAACCGCTTCACCGATCACCTATACGCTTGGTGCTATAAATCCAAATAAAAAACCAGTAAATAAAAATGGCTACTAACCAAAGCATCCTTTGAACAAGTTAAGAAATTCAAATAAAATTAAACACCAAGGAAACAATAAACACAGAAAAGATATGCTTGAACTGTTATGCAAATCAAGATACTAATAGAAATAAAGATAGCTTCTACCGTTAATCAAATCAACAAAAATAAAAAAACAATTAACAGTGTGAGAAACGACAGCAAGCAGACCAGCAGCAGGCACAGGCTTCTCCGATGAAGCCATGGGAGCACCTGAATCGGCAACGAAGAAACAGAGAAATCAATCTCCAATCACCAAACAAAGATTCAAACCCAAAACTGCATAATTTATCATAAAATTCACACAATGGATTCGAGTGCTTCCATTGAGCTCTAAGATAAATTCAAAATACAAACACATTTGCAATGAACGAAGACGAAACAACTGTAAGATTGAAAGCAAAAATGAAACTGACCACTTATTTTTTCCTCTCCTCTAATTTTTCAAGCATAGCCTTCTTTAAAGCTTCTACGTCATTTTCGGTTTCAACTGTTGTCTTCGGGTCACCAATGGATTCATCTGATTGACCAGATCAACTGGCATCCAATGCGGTTTGTGCATTTTCGAGTTCATATCTCAAATTCCTTTCATTCTCTTCCATCTCCTGATAACAAAAATCATAAATTTTCAGAAAGATTGTTGGTCTCCATTAACAAAAATACGACATACTCAAGTCTCATCATTAGCTTCCTCTTCCGCAAATCTGCTTCTTGAATTTTCTCCTGTATTTTATTTTCCCACGATACTGCCCTTTCATATACAGCATTCTCTTCCTGCAATGTCACCTCCCTCAACTGTGCCTGTCCACAACTGCAAATGGGAACTATTAAGACAACTCCATAGCCAAAAATAAACAATCACATAAAACACAGATAGGAAACAGAGAAAACGCATAAAATCAAGTATATCCTTGAATTTTTTAGCATAAAGACTTGAAATCGGGCTCAAAAACTGGAAATTTCACTTCAATTAAGCAGCTTTTCAGATGTTTACAGCTTAAATATGCATGATAACAAAAAGAATCATCCTTTCTTCACTTATTGGACACTAACCGAAAAACCCTAATTTATATTATTCAGATTACATGTATGATATGCATGATAACCTACGATGACAAAACCAGCTACAGAACCTACCATTGTATGATCAAGATCTGAAACTATCATTAGCCGAGCTTCAAACCGATCCATGACTATCCTATATCCAACGCAAACCTGCACTGAATTATAATGTACAAAAAATACAAACATTAGAAAAACCATTCCAAATCCAAATTCACACACACACACACACACACACACACTACAATAAAACTTGCCAGAACAACCGAAAGTTTTACAAATTTGACATTCTGGAAGCTTAGAGTCCTTCACTTTTGCCTTTTGCCATGAGAATGCAACCTTCGACCTTCAGTTGAGCTGGTGCATGCTGCTGCAGGCTCGGTGCTTTCCTCACCTATAACAGAAAAATTAGGGAACTCAATTTATTATTTATATATCATCGATTATAAAATGGTAATTCACCCCTCCCTCCCTTATGATGATCCTCAATCAAATCCAAAGTTCGAAAATTAAGAGAGAAAAGAACATATTTTGTCAAATTCTTCACCCAACTAATTTCAGAAGTTCAATCCGAGTCTTTTAAACAAAAAAAACCCAACAGCTCAAATCTCCGAGTATCCTTCAATTCACTAAATAATGTGCAATCCAATTAATAAAATTATAATCTATTATAATTATCATGAACTAATATAACACTGCTCATAAGAGTAGTTGGATCAAGCGTTCAAACCCAAAATAACATTGTTCATTTGACAAGAGAGAGTCTGGAGAGAGAGAGAGAGAGAGGGGGGAAGAATAGGCAATTTTATAAATAAAGTGAAATTCTGCTCCAAACAGTGTTCATTTGAACAGTGCAATTGGAATCCCTTCTTTAGAGTAAAGTAATGATGCCACTTGGCATCATCATAATGTGGCAGTTTTGTAATATTGTTAGTTACTGTTTGTAACCAACTAATTAGGGTTTTGAAGGTCATTTGGCTGTTATATATTGGACTCTTTAATAGTAAGTCTTGTTATCTGCTACTATAAATTTTAAGTCTCGTAAAGAAAGTAAGTCATTGTAAAAGAAGTCATTTGTGTAATAAAAAGTTATTTTTACCAAGTGATGAGGATAAATAGATAAATTGTTTAAGATTAGGTTAGTTTTGATCAAGCTTTCGATTCTCTTCCAACATTACATGAAAACTTAATGTACATAATAGATAAACCAGCACAAAATAACACTTATACAAGAAAATTCAGAAGAAGTGCTGCACATATTGATTGATCAAGTGGTACTTCTCGAAGATTTCTATTCACTTCGTGAATGTTCTGCGATAATGAGTTGGAACCATAGTATGATTCCAAGGAGACGTCGCATACTGGATGTGACAAAAGCTTATACACCTTTTTTTTTTTTCTTTTTTTTTTTTTAAGCTTATACACCATTTGGACCTAAATGTCTACATCAACCATCCTCTTTCAGTGCGGTCCAGACCCAGTCAGCTGTTAACCCCTTTTCAAATGTACCGCACTGCATAAATTATAAGCACATGTTTGATAAGTGGTAGGGTCAAGTCGGATTGAACGTTATAAAAGAAATATTATCATTAAATCAAGATAATTTTAACGAAAAACTCATATTACTGTTCACTTTAACGAAAAATTATATTTTTACACTAAAAAGTCAATTATGGTACTATTTACTTTACTCTTTATTTTGTCATTATCGTTCAAACTTAAAGTTTTTAAGTCATTTTCATTAGTTTTCCTTTAAATCAATAGCTTATAAACAATCTTTAGTGCTAAAGCTAGATGAGTTATTTGAAAAACTTCCATGCACCGCGTGTATATAGCACTGGTATTTCTTCATACCTCTTTTTAAGTGGGGGAAGAGATGTTTCTATCCTTCTTTTGCATCTCTATTCATAATTTTTATTCGAGGTTGAGTTATGTGAGTAACCTGTCGCGAAATGGATATGAGGTTGTCGGTGACATTTCAGGCCAATAGTAATACAATTTCATGTGAAGAAAAACATACACACAACATTGAGTTATTAGTCTAAAATGTCATTGTGATCATGTAACTATTAAATGAAAGTCACTCTTTCCAGTACACTCTAGTTTATTTCCTTTACATTGAAAAAAAACCAAAGATGAAATAAAAAGAAAAAAATAATGTTTTTTTTTATCCATAACGATCATTAAGATTGACATAAATCATCACCTTGGTCTATAATATTTAAAATCAATAATAAAAGTGGCCTCCGAGATTGTCCACATACCACCGTTAATTATTTTGGTCATTCTGTGAGAATTTTTTATTAACTTGAGGATATTTTTGTCAATCAACACTTCCACTTGAACCGATGGTGTAATCAATTTAATGAAAATTTTTCGTAGAAGGTTCAAAATAATTGACAGTGACCAATTTTATGGACCATTTTATATCGATTTTAAATTTCAAATCTAAAGTAAAAAATTATAACAATCTCATAAATCATTTTAACTAAAAAAATCTAAAAATAAACAATAGTATGTGCCATAAAGTAGAAAATGGTATGCGAAAATTATTTCTTAAATTAAAAATATCCATTCAGCACTTAACGTCCCTTAGATAAGGCCATCAATCGGCAAATAGTTTGACAGTTTGCAGAGGGTCCTACTCTTCACCCTTTGGAAGTGTTTTTCCCATTGGAAAGTCCAAAGTTGCACGTATAGGTCATGATGTGAACACCGATGACATATACTGTTACTAGGGTCTACAATAAACACATATTTGTGCTTTTGTAGCACTGCATCAGCTTGCTCAATTGCCACTGTCAGTCAATTATGGTCTTTTCGTTGGACTAAGATCTTTTCCGGATCAATTATATCTGGATCCGCATGATCAGAGCATTCTGGCGGTCCGTAGTGAATTGTGTGGACAGAAATCAATTCATATGTTCAACGCGCCATCTCCTTCCCTTCTCCTCTGCAATCACCAAGAACCCTGCAGTTCTGAAGTCCTCTGCAATCCCCAATTGAATGACCCTCTCTCTCCTCGTCTGCAAGCTGCAAATCTATTTGATGCGAATGCCCCTACTTCCCATTGTGTTGAAGGGTAGAATATTAAAGATAATTTCTTTCTGGCTCAGGAACTCCGTATAATCTACCATAGGAAGATGGGCAAGTCCCAGTGAAATGGAACGCCGGGCATGACTTTCGTATCTTTCCAAGATTCCCAAGAAAAATATTTGACTGAATACTGTACAACAAGTCAAGAAAGTGCTTGTCTAGTGATGATGACGTAAACACAGGCGTAACCAATGACGATGACAACAACTTCGTCAGACATCTTCTGTTGGTCGAGAACTACAAGGAAAGTCCACACCTTCTTGTCCCGAGTGGAAAGTCAGACACTATACCCTTCAGAAGGCGCCACGTGTACCCTCTATCCATAGACGGTCGTTAATTTCCGCGTGTGTCTCCTGCCCCTCGAAACCCAAACGACAGTCAATAAGGCGCGTGTGTCTCCTGCCCTTTCGAAACCCAAACGACAGTCCACTGTCACGCACTTTAAAACCAAAACTCCCGCGTGCGCGACCAATCCGTGTCTAAACGGTGTTAGACAACTGCCGTCCATGTCATCCTCCCAGTATAAACGCCCGCCACTCTCTCTCCCAACTCAATTTTAACGCTTTTCCCACTGAAACAACATTCTCGACTTTCTCTCTCTACAGTCTCTCTATCCTAACAAAACAGCATGCAATATCCCTACAAGCGACTCAAGCTCTCCGACACCCAGCCCGACGACCCGGCCACACTTCAATTTCAGTCTCCGCCGCCGCCTCACCGCCTTACCCAAGACCAAGAATACGCGGTAATGGTCTCCACGCTTCGAAACGTCGTCGCTGGAACCGCCACATCAGCCACCATGGACTTGAATTCTCTCCTTTCCTCACACGCCACTTACTCACCCCGATATAATACTAGTACTAACTGCCACAGCAACACTCTCTTGGCGCCGTCCGATTTGGACACCTGCCACGTGTGCAAAATCAAGGGGTGTCTCGGGTGTATTTTGTTCCCGCCACCGCCAGCAGCTCACTCTCAGGACGAAAAGGGAGGCAATTACAAAAAGGGGCCGAAGAAGAGGGTGAAGAAGAACTACAGGGGAGTGAGGCAGAGGCCTTGGGGCAAATGGGCAGCCGAGATTCGAGACCCGAGACGGGCGACTCGGGTCTGGCTCGGCACGTTCACAACAGCCGAGGACGCTGCCCGAGCCTACGACAAAGCTGCAATCGAGTTCCGTGGGCCCAGAGCAAAGCTCAATTTTCAGTTTCCGGACACAACATTGTTGGACCAAGAAAGTAATTCAACTCAACCACAACATCAACAGCAGCAGCAGCAAGTAGTTACCGAGCAAGGAAACAAAAATGTCGAATTTTCAAGGGAAGTCGAAACGACGGCGATTTTGAAGGAAAATGAGTTCTGGGAAAATATTGGGGAAGAGGAATTCCAGTGGATGACGATGCTGGATTTTGCTACTGATAATTCCTCAGATTCGGGGAATGCTCATAGTATTTGAGTACAATAAAATTCATATTCTTTTGATTTTTTCTTTCAATTGTAGCTTGTATGTGACTGAAACAAGTTCATTTGTTCTTTCAATTGCCAATGATGCGATCAATTTTAATGGAAAGTCAATAAGTACAAATTAAGTGTATGTCGACTTGTGCAAGTTTCAAAATTGTAGACCGGATTCAGAATATTAAATATATTCCAATTCTAATTCAATTTTCTTTTGAATTTTTTCAGATTTTGGATTTAAATTCGATAGTATATTTTACAATATATTCCAGTTCGAAATCGATCAAAATCGAATATTCTTATTCAAGTTGCACTAGCACCGTTATGCTTTCTGATAGAAAAGTCTGATTTTTGTTATTAGAAATGCTAAAAGACTCTCAAATTAGGAACAGGATCCTATATGGATCTTTTTGTGAGGATCCTAGATATTAATTCATCATATCCATTCATTAGTCATCATACAGTTAAAAATCATTTTGAAAATTTTATTTAGAATTGAACACAAACAGTACATAATGAAAGCTGGTCTTAGGATGTACGATGATCGACTAAAATGAATTCATCCCTCAGATCCTCACAAAGATGATCCTCATCCTCAAATTGGGACTCTCCATAAACTTGATGTCACCTAACAGTTTAACGTCGATTCATATGTCAACATTACAAAATATTGTGCAAAAAACATGAAGTAAAAAAAAATCAATTAACAATGTTACTTTTGAAGAAAGTCTCCTTAATATTTATCTTTTGTTACCAGGGGAACGGAAATAGATCAGGAGATGATCTCTTTACTTAGGGACAAATGTCAGGACATTTACCAAGACATATAAGTGGGATCCACAGGTAGCAATCCAATTGCTGGTCGTTTCGCTGTGAAGTAAACGAAAGAACATAAAAGTGACGATGTAATACAACATGTGCGGTTAAATATTATGAAGGCCCCACCGCAGGCGGCCGTGTGCAATTAAAGCGTAAAATCTGAGTCGCTTGTGAGAGTTACACGACATGTGCGCATTTATTTTCCGGAGTAAATTAATAGGGATCACGTCTTACACGTTTTAATTAGCTAATGTGAACCGCATCATTACTAAATTAATGGATTATACGTTCTCAAATAAAACAAAAATTAATGGATTATCCAAAGAGAGAGAAACTAGAAAATATAGTCTTATTGGTGGGGACGTGTGGCTAAACCGAGTAGGGTCATCTAATTTGACATTTTAAAAATATTTTTTTAATAAGGAAGCATGATTAACACATGTTTTTTTTTTCGAACATTATTAACACTTGTTAATCCACCTTAACTTTTTCAAGGTAAAATTGGATTTCGTTCAAAACACTGTAACGCCATTACTTATCATCTAAATAATTATCAAAGTTCTAAAAGACTTTAGGCACTAATCGAACGACAGACTGAAACCTAACACCTAGACGGTTAGACAAATTTGAATAAATATATTATTTATTTCATAATAAGGATATTTCCACTTTCAAAATAATAATATTAGAAATGTGAGAAAAAATAAAATATAAAACAAAAGAATACAAGTTGGTTTGTAACAACTGCTATTCTACCAATCTGTAAGAAAGCCTATAAATTGATTAAAAAACCCAAAAGGTCCACAGATCTCACCGCCCAAAAAGGCCTACAAATTGTATTGGATTTGCAAAGGAAAGATTTTTCAATGTGATTGATACACGATGTGGTATATCATGTAGTTATTATACAAATAGTAGAATTTGTATGTTAAAAAGTTAATAACTTAAAAAATAAAATTTTGCACCACTTACATAAAAATACGTGGTATACCATCTGTGTTCCCATCATAATGAAAATTTTATGTAGCAAATAAACCAAATGGCTTTCTATTTAGTTATACACGCAATTCCCGCACGAGATCCTAAGAGCAATGGAAAAAATATTAAAGAAATATAAAAACAAGTAAATTAAAAGATCGTGCGGACCATCTTATAAAGAAATCATGCAAAGACAAATAAGTCATCTTCTTCCTCTCAACACCTACTTTGAAAAAAATACTTTCAGATTCTAGGTGTTCTCCACATTCGTCCGCTAGCAACTGCCCAACCCCATCTAGTACTACCTAACTCCGCCTAGGTATCTGCTTAATATTCTTTCTGATTTTTATGAACAATTAGGAGCTAATCGCAACGGTAGCTAACCGTTCTGCCCCAAGATGGTCGCCTAAGTCAATTTTTAGAACACTAGTAATTGTGGATAATTTACTGAATAATGCTAGCCCATGTTGTTTTGTTTTTGTTTTTTTAATAAAAGTTACTCTACGTTTTATATGAAATTTTACTAGATTTTACTCCCTTCAATTTTGGATGATTTCAAATGGTCATGAAGTTTCAATTTTCTTATTTTGCACTATAAGATTTTAAAATTGTATTGCTTTTGGTTGGGTTGATTGTTTGATTACTCATTAAATTAAGGAGCATCAAGACAAGGGGTTCAAATTGATTGTTTGATTATTCATTAAATTACATTTTACTACCTCAACTTTAGATCTCCTAATAAACTCATAACTCATCTTTTAAATATTGCAATAACATACATTAACTTACAAATTTACTGCAATGTCGACCTCTGTTATATTTCTATTAAATTGACAGTTAAGTAATGACATAACAGATGCGGCCCCCCACATTTTTATTGATGTAGAACACAAATTTGTGACAAGTTGATAAAAAGCAAAGGTTTTTTAGCCAAAATGCTCATTAAGATTTGCATAACTCCTCACTTTGGTCCTTTGAGATTTGAAATCAATAGAAATAGTCATTGAGTTTGTTCACCATCAATCATTTTGATCCTTATATGAAAATCTCCATTAAATAAGACTAAAATGACAAAAATACCCTCAATTTTTGTCAAATCATTTGCCCATTGTTTATTAAATTGAGGGTATTTGTAAGATCCCACATCGCGGAGGGAAGTGATCCTTATATGTATATTCCCATCTTTACCTAGCACGAGGTCTTTTGGAAGCTCACTGGCTTCGGGTTCCATGGGAACTTCAAAGTTAAGCGAGTAAAGCGCGAGAGCACTCCCATAATGGGTGACCCACTGGGAAGTTCTCGTGTGAGTTCCCAGAAACAAAACCGTGAGGGTGTGCTGGGGGCCCAAAGCGGACAATATTGTGCTACGGTGGAGTCGGGCCCGGGAAGTGGTCCCGCCCGGGCCGGGATGTGACAGTATTTTTGTCATATTTGTCCTTATTTAATATAACTTTTCATGGAATGACCAAAATGATTGATGGTGGACAAACTTAAGGACCACTTATATTGATTTCAAATCTCAACGACCAAAGTCATGAGTTATACAAATCTCAAAAACCATTTTGGCTAAAAAGCAAAAAAAAAATTTAAAAAAAAATGAAAAAAAAAAATAAAATACATATATATATCTACTAATTAATAAACACTCATTGCCAACCAAAACCCTATGAAATTACCAATTTAACCCTCTAATTAAAACAGAACATGAATAAGAAATATAGGGCAGAAATATAATTTCATACAACCAAAATTTTTTTTTTTTCAAAGCCTCACTTACATGTAATCCTAACATATATCTAATTAAAAAAAAATAAAATAAAACTTCCCACCCCCACATTCTCTATCATTCTCTTCCTCTCTCCTTCTATTTCAAAAACAAAAATAAAAAATTTAATTGTGTGTGCCCATATGCTAGTAATTATTTAATAAAGTAAATGAACCAGAAATTTAATTATTTAATTGTTGGTAGCGACCCGTGTTGTTAAGCATCTTCATTCCAATGCCCTTGGTGTGTTTTTCAAAGGTTCCTAAATCACATCCTCGCCGCCACCGTCGCCGCCCTTTGCTCCTAGTCCTACAATTTGACGTTCTATAGAACCTCCGCAACCCTAAGACTGACTGCTAGTCTGTTGTAGCAATTTCAACTTTTCCCTCTCCTTGTGGCCCCTCTCCGCTCCCTCCTTCATCTTCTTCTCAAACGGCGTCGACAAAAACTCTGCTCCTCGTCGTCGTCCTCGCCCTCAACGGACCCGAATTATGATTTTCAAAACCTAAACCTAGTGGTGGCGTCGAGGCCATGCCGCTTATCATCGTTCTACTGCTTTGAATTGTCGTCAACCTCCTTGGGCATGATGATTTTGGTGGAGGTGAAATTGATGGGCTTAGTGAGGTCGACCTTTCGGTCTTTTCAGCTTTTTTTGGAGATGTCATTGTCATCGTCGTCGTTGGTATTGGCAGTATAACTTAGTCATGTGGAAGAGCCGTCATAAATTTCGAGAATAAATCCTTAGCGATATGAATAAGGGATAAGGATTTCAGCGACACACCGATGAGGTTGGATAGGGTTAACAATTGGAGGGATTGACGGAAGTGAGGCCACGAGATTTGGAGCGGCTGAGGGGGGATTAGGGTTCTCGAGGGGGTGTTGGCGTTTTTTTTTTTTTTTTTTTTTTTGGCGGCTTCAAAGTTGATTCTTTCTTCTTCAATTTTTTAGTATTTTTCAAGCCAGTGATAATGAGCGTTTTCATGAACTCTTTGATGCGAAAGATCCTTGCTCATCGCTTTGGGATGCCTTCGCGCATGCCACAGCACCATGCTTTGGTGCCTCGAGTGAGGCTAGGCTGACGACAGGCTCACGCCTCTGAAGCTCCCCTTACTCCTTCAGCAGCACCAACTTGAAATGGCATGTTGAAGCATGGCCTTTGCCTTGCTTCGAGTTGTAACATCGATGGATTCTCCACTTGCAGTAGAAGTGCTGACGCTTCTTCCCTTGGTCGTGAGAGTAGCTTGTCCCTTCTTTGAAGCCATTGATTTCTAAATGTAATTGGATTTTTTGAATGAAGAAAGAGATGAAAGGCTGAGATAGTCCCACTAGGCATGCCAAATTTGTAAACACGAATTTCTTGTGGCAAATCAAACAAGAACACGTGTACAAAGTAAATTTGTATTAATGTAAATGTAGGGTTAAAACCTCTGATACAAAGTTTCGATCTTCTTATTTGATCTTCGGGTTGCAAAGTGTGTATGTGTATGGTCGTTGATCCAAGTGTTGCAATGACTTGACCTTGGATGAATGGATGCCACGAGATTTTGGCTCTTGGCAATGAAGGAACAAACACGTGTAGAGGTGCTTGGTGTTTCTTTACGAGAGTGATGAATAACGCAAAGAGCTTTCTGAGTCTTCTGAGTGTTTGAGGCTTGAGAGCTTCAGCATCTAGGTGTTTGGATTGATTTTGGACCTCTTTACTTTGTCCTGGAGCCTTGTATTTATAAACTCTCCAAGCTTTGCTTACAAAGAACCAAGACTTGATTTGTGTCTTGATTCGTGACTTGTGATTTGACTTCATCAATTAATATTTGACTTAATCAAATAAAATCAAATAAATCAATCATCCCATTTTGGCTTTACTAGATTTAAATTTAAATTATTTAATTTGTTTTATTTAAATTAACATCAAATAACTCCTTTCTGCCAAGTGTTGACATGTGTCCTCTTAATAGCTTGTCTGGTTTTGATGAGTCACATACTAAATATCCATACGATTTGTGGGATACATAGTACATACCATGTAAGCCTTCATATGCCAAAATTTAATGCTCGATGAACATTTATTTTCACCAAAATTTGTATGTCTACAGTTTCATTCTATTTCCAATTTAGCAAATCCATGATCTTCTAAAACTCGTAGACAAACTTGCGTACGTAAAACCTACTTGTTGACCATTTCATTTCATCAGCGTGTCGAACTCTAATGGGCAGAGGCAAAGTGAATCGTGAAGGATGAGCAATGGTGGTGTCTTGTCCCTAAATTTAAGAACAAAAGGCACATATATAGCTCATATCAAGTAAATTAATCAATAGGTCTCTTTAACGACCAGCAAAATGGAGCTTTGAGCTGAGTTATTATGGGCCTTCAAATTTAATAATTCATACAATAATTAAGGAACAAAAATAAATAGGGTGTGCAAAGGAAAAAAACCGTGTGCGAAATCACTTTCCGCGAAGTTAAATCAACACTCAATACACTCCTCATGAGCTCTTTACTCTTCCTAGTCCTATCCTCTTGACAGCCCTGCCCTAAAACCATTCAATCAGCCGCGACTGCAGACATACGGCCATGTGAAGGTCTTCAGGTCAGCCTCCTACTTGTCTCTCCTTTTATCTCCTCTCTCTTATTGTTCAGTTTTTCTGTTAGCAAGCTGTTATTTGGGTTTTGGGGGTTTTGAGTTCTTCATACAATTTGCTCATTTCCATGTTTAATTGTTTAATCTGTAATGAGTAAGGGGGGCATTCGATTGGGATTTTGAAGAATTTTAGAAGACACGTAAATCCTGGAGTTTGTTAGAGTTTTAATGAACTTCTATAGACTCCATGTTTATAGTGAATTTTTTTTTAAATCTCACGCGGAGAGACATGATGGTGTAGCCAATTTTGATTTCGAAGGATTTTAATAGACTTTTTTTAAGTGACAGATTTCAAAGGATTTGAATAGACTCTACAATACTATATGGATTAATTTTGGCAAATTTATATGGATTTATATTATAGATTTGTATGGACTTCTTTCATAGATTTCTTAGGATTTTTTAGTTGACATCTACAACATCAAATGAATTTCTCTCAGTGCACAATTTGAAATATAAAAACATAAACATAAACATACATATATTGATACAAAAATATAAGCCAATCAAATATAAGGTTCTAAATAACGACAGGTGCTAGTCCGGCGGCGGGCAGGAACCTAGCGCCTAGGCGGATTTATGTAAATTTATTATATATCTTGTAAATAAGTGCCTATTTACACCTTCAAAAAAAAAAAAAAAAAAAAAAAAAAAACCTATACTTGTATGGATAATAAAATAATAATAAAATGCAAAAATAGAAGTAGAAGAATACACAAAGTATATACATCCATAAAGTTCAATATTTAAAAAACAATAAACATATAATCATAATGAGGAGGACTCTTAGATGATAGACTAAATTCTTCTTGTTCAAGATCCTTGCATTGGATTGGACATAGACTAAATTATTTAACCTTATTGTATCTAGTTTATTTCCTTTCTTTGTATGTATCCCCTCAAAAGTGCTCCAATTCGTTTCACTATTGGATGAACTTGTAATAAATCCATCATTTGCAAATTAGGTACACCATTTCCATAAGTATATCACCATGAAACCAAAAAAGAAAAAAACACACAATTAATAAAAATTAAAAAAAAAAAAAAAAAAACGGCCTAGAACTGTCTAGGAGTCGCCTAGGTGCCGCCTAGGACCACTTAGCCCACCTAAGCGGCCACCAAACTCCAGATCGATTTTTCGAAATGATTTGCACTAAATCGTGGTGGGCCTTCACCGCCTAGGTAGATTTTTAGAACAATGATCAAATATGACTTTCCGTTTCTCATTTGAATTATAATTAAAAAAAAAAAAAATCAACCAACTAAAACAAAGATCATTGACTTACAACCACCTCCAACTCGCCACTTCATACCCAATCAATCATAAAATTAAACTTGAAAATAATAATTTCAACCTACAAAATAAAAATAAGGAATTGAACTCATTCAAATCTTTCGAATAAACCTAAAGCAACACCACAACTAAATTTAAAATCTTTTAAAATTGCCACTTCTAGTGGTATTCCTCTTCACTTGTAAGTGAGAGGTCTTAGGTTCGATTTTCGCCAAAAGCGAATTCGAACCACATTATTAGTAACTCATTGTGAGGCTTAGCCCACCCCGTCTCCTTAATGTAGATAAAAAGTTTGTTAAAAATCTTTTAAGATTATATATAACTGATTATACCGAGATTTTAAAGTCTATTAAGATCCTATCAAATCTAATTTGACAACACTCCAAACATTTTATGAAATTCCTCCAAAACCATCAAAATCCTTCATTGTAAAATTCCTTTTAAAAATCCTGATTGAATATATTCTTCTGTTTTTTCAGATTCAATATATATTCTTGTACCCTTCACAAATCCTGCTCATTTCTGCATTATGGATACTGAAGGGAAGCCATTTAGCAACATCCCAGAATGTCAAAACACAAATAAAAAGCTCAGAAAACAGGATGATACAACAGAGCAAGATATTGATCAAGATGGCCAAAATGCCAAGGCTGTGGGAGCAAGATATCTTAAGTTGTCTCAGAATATCCACCCGTTGAGAATTCTTTGTCTGGATGCCGCAACTTAAGATATTTAACATCTATGCTCGGTACCTGCAAAAATTTGTATAAGAGATGGATGCCAAGATACGGTGAAGGCCACAATCACTGCTCCAAATCAACTCTGTTTCACTTTTATTGGTCATTTGAGGTCTATGAACAACATTTCAGTCGAAGCTCCAAATCTCTCGGAGGTTAGAATCCAACTTGGGGATTCAGAACCTGCCATCAACTGGTCATGGAATCATTTTTCTACCCTGAGCGATTTTCTCCATAATTTTGCTTGCTCTGAAAAAGTAGCCCTCTTTGTTCGTGATGTTGAGGCAAGTAGCCATCTCTTTAATCAGTTTGTAATGCTCTTCTGTATTTCAAGTTGTGCTTTAATTTGTTGACTCAATGACTGGTGTGCAGGCTCTCAATTTTCCGGAAGATTTCACAAAGACGTGCTCTTCACCGTTGCGTAACGTCAAGGAACTGGAGGTAAGGATTCTTTCTCCGTCGGGTGCTAGAGACTCCGACTTAAGAGACTCCTTGGTTTGGATGGCACCTTCTGCGAGCATTCCACCAGTGAAGTACTCTCGAGATATCTCGCCAACGTAAAACAATGCTTTCGGGGTTAAAAAGACAGCCAGAACTGTTTTCCCTTGGTAATGGATTCGTGAAAAGCCCATTGGAGAAGCTTCGTCAACTAGAAGAAGCTAAAAATAGTTCTATCGATTTGCATATTTGCGTATATTTTCTCTGTTGATGGCTGTGATTCTGCGACGTGTATTGAAGGGAAATTTTGTTAATTAATTGGATCCTGGAATTTCCATGTTTCTGTATATTTCGAAATATGAGTGTGTGACTTGGTAAGTTTCATTCTGTTTTCAATTTCTCAACTGCAAATCATTCAAACATGTAGATAAATTTTGAGGAAATAGTAGCAATGATCCCTTAATTTTAACACAATCGGAGTAATGGTCCATCAACTAAAAATCCATGAAGATTGGTTTCTTAACTCATCAAAACGCGCAGCTATGGTTCTTTTCGTCAACTCCATTAGAACTTCCGTCGAAATGAGTCATTTTTGAAGGACTATTAGGGACCATTGTTCCAATTGGGGTAAAATTAAGAGACTATTTCTCCAATTGGGTTAAAATTGAGAGACTGTTTATAGTTTTTCTTATTTGGTTTTTCCATATTTACAAATATTATATATATATATATATATATTTCAACCCTATCAATAAAAACCTTACCGGGAATTTCAACCCTATCGAAAGGAAAAAGAGTTTCGCGCAAATAAATTTGAATTGTACAAGGGTGATTTTAACTCTTTTAAGTTCAAAATATTAAGCAGAAATACATACTGAAAGTCCCAAGGGAAAAGAGATACATTTGCAATAAATTAGAACAAACCAGTCACAAATCTAGAAAATCAAGTATCCAACTTATGAACAAATCAGTTGCAACCAAATTTTGGAACTTTTGTACGCAAACATCAGTTAGAACAACTAACATGTACATGGACACAAACACAAGCTAAGTACAAGACAGGAAAAAAATAAAAACGCGCAAAGAACAAATCCCAGATGCACCAGATTCAAGACGAAGTTAACTCTCATATACAAAGGTGGGGGGTGGCGAAGATCATCGTTTGCCGGAGAGACTGATTGAGCTCACTTTCATCGGGGTTGCCACCACCAGCGGAGCTTCGGGGGAGTTGGTACCATAATTGTCGTGCATAAAGCGACTCTCAACGATGGATTCATCCTTCAACAGAATCTTGTAACAGTAACAACTCTTGAGGCCTTGCTGATTCCTGTAACAATCATGAGCACTGTTCTTCACCTGCTGGAAATCCCATACCACACTGAATTTTCCAACTGTTGCGACTAGGTGGCGCTCTTGTTTACCGTTCTCCGTGACCTGTAAACAGAAATTACGTGTTTTCAACAAAAGGAATTTCTCAATAAGGACAGTTTTCATCAAGAATCCAATTTACGTTTTCAACTTCCCAAATCAGTGCATTACTGTTTGGTACCTATTCAGATAAGTGAGATTTTTCTGCTCCTATTCCTATCAATTTCAAAGAGCTACATAACTGAACATTCTATGCAAACACTTTCAGAACAACAATGGATGAGTCTACTTCTAGGAGAACAAAGCAGGACAATGCGACAAGAAAGACAAAATCCAGCAGTAAATCTATGCAAATGCAGAAGTTAGACCTAGTTCTGCACTTCTAAAACCAATAACATTTACTTGTAAGTAGTAGCATACCTCAAAACTTCCCATTTAATGCACAATTGTAAGCTAATAGATGCATATTAAAACTAGTTTAATCAATGCTTGAGGTCATCTTCTCAAGAATCAGAACCAGAACCATAAAAATTCATTTGAACCACAGCAAGCTCAGTGTAAGATCGTATCGATGTTCACCGAAGCAATTCATGGGCGGGAATCAGTTACACAAACTAAATTGAATGATTTACATCTCACATCTATATCTACTGAAACAAGTCTACCATTGAGAAACGAGATAATGCAGGGCGACTCTATGCTAGTGCGGAACCTATAGTTATAAAGCCAATATGATTTTTCTTACAGTATGATGCACTGTAAAACAAGCCATTGGCCCTACTTAAGAGTGAATATCATAAGAAATGAGAAGTAGTTAGAGCTGGCTTGTGTTTGTTCCTCTGTTTTCTGTTTAGTTACCTATGTGCCAAGTTAGTTGCTTTTGTGTTGTGGGTGCTCACTTCATGATCTAATTTGCATCTTAAGTTTTTAAACACTTCGAAATAAAACCCACAACATGTTAACAGAGAAAAATCCAAGCTTTGTTTAAAGAAGACATGAAAGTTTATCACCAACAAATTTAGAGAGGAAAGGAAAGGCACTCTCTGGCTACACACATTTATGACATTGTGCTACGTGTACAAAATCTTTTCCAGCAATATGAATCTACAATCACTAGTCATGAAATCCCTCCGTCATAAACAAGTCAAAATCTTTTTCCATAAAAATATATTCAAAAGCATCCAAGTTTCACCAATGTGTACTTTTTTTATGTTGCCTAATTGGCATTGAATGATCACACATTGGTGTTCTTGAGATTTTGTTCTCTCATTTTAGTGTACACACTAGTTAAGACATGGTGTAGTTATCGCATGCATATACATGGTTAAATGATAGTACGAAAAAATAGATACAGCTATTACCTGAATCAAAACAATAAAGCACTTATTGATGGATATATCGTGAGTAAATAAATTATCCAGGCAATACAAGATCTTGAAAAACTATAGGTAGAACACAAAGCTGAATGATAAATATGGAAAGCACGAACACCCAAAAAAATCTCATTCAAGACTCGTTAACATGGATGGACATTTAATTTAACAAACACGTATGAAACTGAACTGAATAACTTATTAACACCCGAAAGAATCATTCAACAGTCATTTTACACCATTTAGTCAAACCTAAATACATGTAACTGAACAAAATTTCCAATTACAGAAAAACGATGTATTGTACCTTCCAAGGTTTTATTCTAGATGAATAAACTTTTAAACAGTCTAATTATTCCAGCATTTAAAAGGAGAATAAGTATGCTTACCCATGAGAAATGGCCCCGTTGAAATGTATTGTCTGTGCCAGCCAAATGTGAGTCCAAAGGGGTGAGCTTCAACAGCCTGGGAGCCGGTATCTTGTTTCCAGCTCTACCACTAAATCCAGTCTTGGTCGTTCCATCTTTGTCAGTGAACAGAGTGCAAATAAGTACCAAATAAGTATCAGTGGTACCTAACACCCACTTCCCATCATAAGTTACATCAATATGCGTAATGGGAGAACCGAGCCCCGGAAAAGCAGTCTTTGCCTGCCTCATGGAGGTCTTGGAATACAACCTTATCTTCCCTTCCAGACCCCCAACAACAATAGACCCATCTCCAGTAGTAGCAAAGCACTGAAAATTGGTCCCTCGAGAAAACTGATGCCCCTGAGTCCAATGCAGGACCGGGGAATTCGCATTAGCAATGTTCTGAACCATTCCAGCACGGTCACGCATATCCCACTGACAAAGCCTGTTATCATCCAAACCCAAAAAGGTCGATTCAGAAGGATCCAATTGCGAACCTTTAGTGTCATTAGTGATATCTCTCATTGTAATATCTGTTCCATCCTTTTGAAATTTCCATTCAGTGACAATCTTGCCCGTCTCAATATCGAGCTGCTGAAGCCCATTAGCTTGAGGCTTGCCTTCCTTAAATGGACTCATAAGTAGCATATTAGTCTCAGCCCTCATTAACAAAGCCTTCTTGGGTGTTGATTTCCCCAAACTCGAACCTCCGGTATCGAATTTGGCGCATACTCCCTTCCCATGAATCCCATGGTTGAAATTCCGGTAAAACTGAACACCATTCTCGTTCACCAAGTAGCTATTGTCCAATGCGCCAAGAGTCAAGCTCTGGACCCCTCCATTGGCGGCCTCCTCGAACTCCTCCATCAAGTCGTGGCTGGGCCGCACCGGCGTGGCCGACTTTGGGCTTTTCTCGGAATCCTCATAGTCCCAGGCCGAATCATCTGCCGCCTCCGGCTTAACCCACCCGAGAAACTCCTTGCCGTAGACCTTGACCTTGTTCTCCTCCGTGGCCTTGACTCCGTACACGTTCTCGAACAAGTAGTCCTGAAACTCCGTCACGAACCTCCGGTACTGCTCGTCGGTGTAAAATTTCAGAGCCCAGACGCCCTTGGACACGAAATCGACACGGCGCTGATCGCCGAACATCTTCAATTGCAGGTCAGTGGAAACCCTGGCTCGGACTTTCGACCCGACTTTCAGAACCCACTCCCCCTCGCGGTCCATCCTTCCGTCGTCGTCGTAATCACCGTCGCCGTCGACATTAGAGGTCTTGATGAAGGAGTAGGCCGTCTTCTCGGAGACGATCCACTTGGCCTTGGGAGTGTTGCCACCGACATGGAGGTAGAGCTTGACGGCGTTCTGGCCTTGAGCGGCGGAGGCGGAGGAAGAGGAGGAAGAAGAGCCGTACTTGAGCTTGAGGGCCTTGAGCCTGGCATCGACGTCGTCGACGGAGGACTCTAGGGTTTTGGAGTTGGGGTTGGAAGAAGCGGTTTGCGGTGGCTTGTAGTTGTCCTCTGCGTCGTCGTATTGGTCTTCGTCCTCCGATTTCTGTTCCTCCTCCTCCTCCGACTCGTAGTCGTCGGAGTCGGTGATGTGATCCTCCCGGCTCTGAGCGGTTCCCATGGATTTTTGGAAATTCGAAATCCGATTTTTGTCGGAGAGATCGAGAAATGGAGAAATGCGAAAGCTTTAGAGGTTATGATTTTGTGGGAGTGAGTGCAGAGTTGTATGCTGACTCGGTCGAATCTGCATTATTATATAGGCTTTGCTTTCCGCGTGGCGTTGATTTCACGCGGCGATTGCTTCTTGGGTAAGGAAAGAATTGGCTGTGGTGTCGTCCATCTTTCATTTCGTGAGACACATGCCACGTCTATGTTCAAAGTTGTTTTCTTTTGAGTGCTGTTATATCCGTTCCCCCATTGTTCAAGAATCACACTCTTTTAATTTTCGATCTTCGAATTATATAAATTGAAAATAATTAAATAACATAAATTAATAAGGAGTCCATGAGAGAGTGTTAGATAGTACACCCCTTTTATAATTATTCGCTTAAATTCTTACGATGATCCTTTTGCCCAGTTAAACAATCAGACTCGACTAAGAAATCCATGCCAGATACTCCTCCTAATTACCATCCCCAATATCCAGGACCCCGTTGTTGAATTAAAATTTTATTCATAAGTTTATCCCTTGGCACATATGGTACCGTTTGGTACGTGGGACCGGACGG